TTTTCGATAAGCCCGTCAAATAGCTTGCGCAAAAACATTAAAACTGACAGCCCACGCAGTTCTTATAAATAAATATTTCGTGGTCGAGAGTGACTCCGCTGTAGTGCAGCTCAATGAGGCGAGAGTTACCTAGAGTTACCGCGGAATCGGTGGTGGTTTCGTTGAGTTAGGTTTAGCAGACGACAAGCTCGAAGGCTTTGCTATGCGGAATTCGCTCTCTCCCGGAAAGCCGCCGTCGAGATGAAACTTCTTTGTCATTCATCAACTTCTGGGTGCCCCCGAGGACGATCTCATTGACTGCAAGTTACTTTATTCACTCCACTATGAGAGCAAGCTTGCCAGCTCAGCCGTGGGTGCTCCGGTACGTTTGATTTTTTTTTAATCGGCGTTCAAACGTTTGAGAAATACCGATTCGATCTCCAAACACGCGACATAAGGATCGCAGCACACCATAAAATACTTGCCTCCGAGCAAAGCGTGCATGCTTCAATATTCTTACTTTTGTGCGTTTTTCCCATAGACTTGCGTGTATTGCCTGGTGTCAAGCGGTGGCCGCCGGTGGCGACACCGACGGACTCCCGATCTGCGATCCAGCCTACTAAAATAGAGATCAGTGGGCTGACCCAGAGGGCTGACCGCTATTAGCGGCGAGATGTTTCGGTGGCGCCCTCATTTGGTTACCTTTCGTGACGTCATTACCTGGTGAACAACAAGTTCGATGGTGTTTGTAATGGGCATGGTGGAAGCCTGAAATCATAGCGCACTCAAAGCAACACTGCCAACACTGTCAAAATTGAAGTTCTTACATTCCTCTTATTTCCGTCAATGAGAAATCCTCAGTCCTGACGTCATAATCAGCATTCGGCCAATCGTGGAAAGCCGACCACAGCGACGCTTTCGATCGCGCACATTGCCAATAGGTCTATTGCTAATAGCGAGTTCGTTTCACGGCACTCGTGCCCACGCGTGCCCACTCGCAGCGTGGAACGGGTTCGTTTCGGCCGGCGCTCCACGAGTGGTTGCACTCTCCGAGTTCGTTTCAGCGCTGACACCCCACGCGTGCATGCACTCGCTGCACCGAGAAAATCGGGAGTGCGCCAAAATGCAATCCCGTCATGCCTCGCTTCGGCAGGGCCAGCGAGGAGCGGGAGCAGACGACGAGGGTTCGTCTGCTACGATGTGTCGCAAACCGAACGGAAAAAAAAAAAAAAAGAATTTTGATAGAAATCGCGTTTCGCGGGCAACGAAATCAAACGCGAGCTTGAATTGTGAGCGTCTGCTATTTCAAGAAGGAAGCTACTGACAACCCGTGATTTATTCGCAGGTTTTAAATCGCTCTGTTGCCGTACAAACGCTGAAGAATACCAGTGTGTCAAGAAATGCTCAGAACAAACGCAACAGCGGCCCCCGAGATGTCTATCACCATCCGTGTGCGGGTGAAAAATTTAACATTTGTCGATAAAACTCCCCCAGCAGAAACCTCTGACTGCCCAATAAGCATCAGAGAAAGCTAAAGATGGTGGCTTTACCCGAGAATTGGGCAACATCATCATGTTTAACATTTACCTACGCAGCTAACTTGCCCCGTCGTATTTTGTTCGAGAAAGCTCTCGTTCTCGACGCCCTCACCAAGGCTAATATCTAATCCACCTATAATGACGATCCAAATCGAAAGTCCCAGTTTTGCTGGATATTCCAATAGGCTAGCTTTAAGCCGTACCCTTTCAGTGGTTCACGCATAATACCATGCTCAAACGGATCAGGCTTCTGCTCGGGCAGCATCATCAGTTTTCTTCAGTGTAAACGGTAATAAGGATTGAAAGATCGCAACCAGCTGCTTTTTAGACAGCTGGTTGCGGAAATTTACGCTGTCTGTAACTATCTCTACGGCAGCCGAGCTGCTTGAAGACATCGCAACTATAAACTACAGGTTGCAGTTGCCAACGTTTGTAGATAAACGCTGGTAGCGACTGCATTCTCGCATTCCCACGCATCACTCGGAACAGAAAGGCGCTAGTTTCGGTTTGAAGTCGGTACCCTTTCTACAACATAGATGGCGGCAGCATCAGTCTTCTGCACTCGGTGCATTTAGCGAGTTCGTTTGAGTCCAGTTTTCCGTGCAACACTCTGTGAGTGCGATGCATTCTGGGAGAGAACTCGAACGGTGCCAGTGCGTGTGAAACGAACTCGCTATAAATTACCCAAGCATCAAGGAGAATGCAGGGATTAGTGTTCCACGCGCCGCACGTGCTGGCCTCAGCAGTAGTAACTTTTCCACAGCAAATGCCTAAAACAAATTGCATCTGGCACGCGCGTTCATTAACGCTTTATTTTGGTTACTTCCTATCTTGTATGGGGTAAGGCATGCGCGTGTGGCGCGTGGAACACCAATCCCTGCATTCTTTTGAAGCTTGTATAATTTAGCAATAGGTCTAGAGCGAGCACTGGCTGGACTGTGATTTAGCACGTGTGGACTGTGATCTTACATAGACCTCTTTCGAAAGTCACGTGCCCATTTTTAAAATGTCTGAAGCGCTGCACAATGGCGGATAACGATCGATATCACAGAACGTGAGATTCCAAAACTACGTACGCTGGAAACGAAGAAGTAGAGTTTCTAGGGTTCCAGAATTGGCATTGTATTTTGTGTCCACCATCGTGCAGGGGTTTTACAACTTCCAACAGAGGGCACACTTTCGAAAGGGGGTTTATACTAATGATTTAACAAAAGTGCTTGCCCGCACAGGCTAATCGCCACCATTGAGGAATACAATTATCTGCGCACCATGCAAAATCACACGGTTTGTTTCATTTGCCAGCTCCCTGATGTCATCGTCACTTACTTGCACTGCGATAGGTGTTGGCGAAGGGCGTTCACTCCTTCTTCTTGTAATCCTGTAAATTGATGAAGAACCAAACCGGAGACGCGAGGATGGCCCCGGCGATCACCGAGATGTGCACCAACTTCTCGGCAGTCGAGACGCGGACCAGGGGAGGCGTGCCGATGTACCGCGTCACAGAGCTGTGGCGAGCTTGCATGGCAGGGGCGCTCAGGATCGCCGAGGTCTTCCGAAGGACACTGGTCATCGCCTTCTCTTTGACGGGCAGGTAAGGACGCCTAGAGAACAAAGCGAGAATTTCCCCAAAAAGAACTTGACTTCTTCTTTGCTGCTCACCAACCATGCCAAAACTCTGCCTCCAATCGAAAAAAAGAAGAAAAAAAAAAACATTTTTGACACGCGCATTATTTTTTCTGGTTTCTTTTTCCTCTGAGACCGATCTCACCAAACACTCTGCGCATGCGTGACGCTGCCATAAGTTCATTCCGTAGGTATACTCTATTTCACCTTACGATGTACCGCAGGAAAGGCTACAAGCGCGTGCACGTTGCTCTAGGGCACACCTCGGCAGCATGAGGGCTCGTGCATTAGGGGCAGCTATCAATGCTATGAGCTCGAGCTTCTAGCCTTCGCTGCGGTACAACATAAGGTGAAACGGAGTATAGTAGGAGGCAGGCGGCAGCAGGCGGCATGCAGTGTGTACGCGACCACGGCTCGAGCCGTCTCGTTCTCTGCACGCGCAGAGCTGCAGCCGAGGTTTTCGCACGCGAAGAAAGCAAGTTTTCTCGTTACATTGTGGCAGCAATGGTGTAGGCACTGTAGTGTAGGCAAACCGTCTGGTGAGATCGCTCTGTTGACAGGGTAGCAAAAGCTCCAGGTGTGAGCTATGACACGCTCTTTGCCTTGAAACCTTCACTTCTATAGTCAAGGCACTGTACTTCTAGCGCAAGCAGTCGGGCCGCGAAAGCAAGTGCACAAGCCCCAACGTGTAAAGTCCCTTCATGTTTCAAAAGTAGCGCAACGTGCGTCGATGCGCGAGGCACGTGCAACGTGCAACCCTTGGGACGATCATGGCTGCACAGCGCAGCACTGAGCTAGATGTCAGGCGCCATGTTTTTCCCAGAATTGCCGCGCGGCACGTGTCTCGAGTATTCCCTCCACAACAAAGAATGGCGCCACTTATCCCAGGATAGAGGGACTTTACGAACGTGTCGCCTTGAGCGACGCCTCCACTACTGCGTGGGTTCATGTGCTCGGCAAACCTTTTCACGCCGTATAGTGCTCGCGCAGGGCGTCCCATTCCGGTGCCGAGCCTGACGCACCTTCCGTCATGCTTCGGTGGCGCGTGTGCGCTCGAAGCCCATTCTTCACTTCACTTGTAAACTTCTTTGTTTTTTGGTGTTTTTTTTTTTTTTTTTTATTATGCACCGGTTTTATCGCAGCGGTCATGGCGTGCGTAAAACCATAAATGATGAAAAACACGTTCTAAAAAATCACATATATGATTACTTTACATCAAAAATCTTTCATGAATTTTTTTGTGGCGAGATTATGTTGAAGAGAGAAAAAGCAAAAAAACAGTTGCTATTGAAATTCTTCCTCGTCAAGGTTTGATTAGCATCACTTAATTAGTCAATAAATCAGTTTACTTTACTGTGGAAAAGCCATCCTTCTAAAGGTCCTTGGCTCAAATTTAGGCAAACGAGTCGCCTGACGAAGCACCAAGGACCTCTATCCGGTCACTGAACTAAAGTCATTGCACACTGCCAGCTCCAATGTGCCACGTGCGTTTAGGTCATAAATAATTTGCGCAACCAATTAATTAATGAAAGGAACGTTTTCCCCCTCTCACATAAGGAAAAGGGTACATCTGAGGGCGCTTCTTGTGATTTCTTCCGCTTTTGTCCTCGTCGGTAACGCCATATTTTAAGAGCGACCGCGACATGCCGAGTCCCAACCCAAGAGGAGGAAGGAAAATAGAACGGATAATTGGACGATGAAGGAACTTGGAAAGCTCTCACAGGACAAGTTGACGAGAGTAACATCCACGGAGGAGTGAATAGGAATTAATTTAATTCATTTAACCCCACATTATGCCTTTAAAATAGATGGGCGTATATATATTTAGCTATTGCGGAGGCTAAATTGACTGACCAGCCATTGTCAAAACGAATATTCTTTACTTTCGTGCACACAACACGTTCACACCTTGGTGATGAAAAAAAAAAAGTAAAAAAAGGGCAATGTTCTTTGAGGTTATCGTTATGTCCTACAGCTGCTTCGTCGCACTGGACTGACTGGGCACTTCAACCTCCAGGAATATCCTCCCAATCCGCGTGCAGCGACGGACTGAGTCCTGCCTCCGCAGAGCGTCCGCATTGCGGAGCACGGGCTCCGTCGCGCTCTCGTACAGCACCTTCGTGGCGTCCGCGAAGCCCGCAGCCACGGCCAAATCCAACGCGGTCCTGCCGTCATTGTTCCTTATGCTAGGGTCGGCACCGAACTGTAGGAGCAGCGCCAAAGAGCGGTCGTGTCCCCTGCGGGCTGCTACATGCAAAGCCGTGTCCCCTTGCAGGTCTTGAACGTCGCAGACGCCGCTGTGCCTCAGCAGGGGTTCAAGGACGCTGGTGGCGTTCCTCGCCGCGCAGTAATGAAGAACCGTCTGACCGAAGCGGTCGCATAGGTCTACCTCGATGCGATCTACGGCTGTTCCGGCTCCGTTAGGAGCATTTCCGTTTTGGTCGGCATTCTGATTGTCGCAATGTGTTCCGTTGTGAGTCGTCTTTTCGTCCTGGTCATGAGACGACACGCCCAGGCTAGCATCATCAACGTCTTGAACTGTTATCGTTATTTCTGAGTCATTACTATCACCGGTTTTTTGGTGATTCGAGTAATCTTGATGCCTGTTCCCATGCTTTTCGTCAGTACTCTTGTCTAGAGGTATCTCCGCTCCGTTTTGACGCTGGATCGCGTCATTCTGGTTTTGCGTGACCTCCGGCTGCTTGCCTTGAGATTCATCTGCTTGTTGAAGTGTGTCCTGACTGGCCTCATGTTCCAAGGTCTCTTGATCTCGGTCGTCATCTTGTTCTTTGACTTGATCACCGTCTAAGCTAGATGCATGTTGACTTGTGATTTCGCACTCGTTTCCTTTGTCTTGCCGGTTCCTCAGTTCCTCGTCCGGAGACTTGCACCCGGCTCGTTCGACCTCATTTAGGTTCTTGTGCTTGGGTTTTTTAATGCTGCTCTTTCCTCGAATGTCGTTCTCTACGATGTCTCCTTCCGGAACGGCTGATAAGACTAGCTTCCCCTTCGCCCGCCTCAAGCCGCCGCTCCTTCCTCTTCGGAGGACTTCGACGTGCTCAAGAAGGGCTAACGCCGTCTCGTAGTTCCCGTTCACAACAGCAAGATGCAGGGGTGTCTCCCCTCGGTTGTTTTGAGCATTACACAACGTCATCGTTGGCACCGCGTCCAGCACAACCCGAACCACCTCAGGGCGATCATGGCGACCGGAGGACGCCAGATGCAACGCGGTGTCTTTTGTGCACGTAACCGCACCGACGTTGGACATCCGCGCCACCTCTTTCAAGACCTCCAGCTGCGAAGCAGTCGGCGTCACATTCGTAGACACGGCACTCTTCACAATCACGTGAAGCGGCGTCAAGCTACCCGCTGAATCGGCCACGTCCCAGCGAGCGGTGAGAGATTGCAGCAGGAGCCTGGCAACATCGGGGCTCTTGAAGACTTCGTGCATGGCGGTCCAGCCACTGTTGTCTCCGAGGCTAGGGTCACAGCCGGCGTCCAGAAGAGCGGCTGCGACCTCTGGTTGGTTGTGGCGGGCGGCTTCGAGAATGGCCGTGCTCCCACCGCCATCCCGGTTCGGGTCGTCGGGGTCCACGAGTCCGGTGGCTAGAAGTGTTGAGACGGTGGTGACGTCACCTGCCCTGACGGCGTCGTGGAAACGCTTGCTCGCGGCGGCTTCCGCGTCCGAACCTTCCATGCTGCAGCTGCGAATAAGACGAGGTCAAGTGTGAACCACAGCGCTGTGAACCGTGTGAACTATTCTACTCTCTACTCCATGCCGCCAGAGAAGGCCAGAGAGCTAGCTCTTGGTGGAAGGCAACGGAGATATGACTGCCGCATTCTGCGTAGATATGTGTATATTCCGACTACAGAAGCGGTCAAAGTTAAAAGATAGTGAGAACACACAGCAGCCGCTTATCGCCTTGAGATTGATACGGGGGCGATAATCTAGTAAACAGCGAAGGTTATGACCCGAGGGAGCAAATCGGAGCGTTGGAGCGAACTGTACGTGACACCTTATTTTTGTAGCGTGCGCTCCACAGTGTGACTGAAGATCTGTCAGGTGCTTCGCTCAAAGGTTCTGACTCGCCTGAGAAGGCTATAGCGTTCGCTTTTTGCCAAATGCTGAAACAAAGTTTATGAGCTGTTCACTCAAAAAGAAAAAAAAGCGTGTTTACTGGTATGAAAAGTTATGCAAAAATGTAAGAACGTATGCCCTACAGAATCATTGCAATCAAAATTTTCGAAGGTCCCAATTATGTCACTTACGGTCTCAACAGGCGACTGGCTCGCATCTTTCTTTGGGTCACTCCTACAACCACAGGCTTGTCTTCAGTCTCGTCTCTGAAAAAATAATAAACGAAAGAAAAAACACGTCAACCTCAGATGACATCCTCGTGCATACATCGTCGTAGTTACTTGCTGACTATGATATTACTCCTCCATCCTGTTATAATGTCGTCTGTCAATGTTGGTTTAGGAATGTGTTCAGCAGACGAACAGCACTGACAAACTGGTCATCTTGGAGCATGAGAGGCAGCAAAACTCGGCTCTCTGGGAAGTGCTATGATTTTCAGGGTTCCTCTCTGAGCTCGAGATTTACAGTTTGATTTTACACTTCGAGGTCTTCAATCCGTTTTCGTTCTCAGAAGCATAATTTCTTTAGAACGCAATACAAAGGATCCCTTGTCATGGACTTACATTTGGTTTTCTTATCAAAACAAATATTCAGTGAGAGTCAAATCGAACCAAATTATAATAAATCCGGCTCGCGTAAAGTGGCTCGCTTCCTTATCAGGTTAAATAAATTTCCCCCAAAAAATACGTAAATAGTATCGAGGTTCAATTAACCTGAGATTGGTGGCAGACGTGAAACATCAAAACATGGGAGGGACAGAAGAGGACGACGTCGTCCTGTCTATTTTCTGTCCCTTCTACGTTTTGTTGTTTCTCTTCCATTACCAGTCTCGGGTTAAATCAACACGGTTAATATTCACCAGCTCGCCCGCACCCTTACTATATTTTCTTAGTATCGAGGTGTTGTCTACTACCGACGACATGTTGTCTCCGATCGACCTGCGAGTTGGAAGGACGAGTTGACCATCTTGAACCTGATATAGATGAGTACAGTCTTGAATTGTTTAAAAATACTAGAGCGACTTCTTTTGCGGTCACTTTCAGAAGCGAGAAAGCATCCCTGAACTCCCATCCTTACCTCAAGATCCCGTTTCCCCGAGGCATCCAACGCAGAATTAGAGATCCCCGCCTTCACAGACATACACTTACTCTTCGTCACTGATGGCCAACACGCAGCGTTGCAGTGCCATGCTATTCATGGCCGTCCGTTCCTTTTTGAAGGGGTTCCCGTCGTTTGTAGTGCTGACGACTACACTAGGCGTCGAGTTGCCAGTGTGTCCGAGACATATCGGGTTCTACGAGGCGTCGTCGTTTCCTGCACGCTTTCCGGTCCAACTCCGTTTCACCTCGAGATGGAGCGCAGCGGACGCTACGGGGCATCCCAACCAGTCAAACGCTGCGAACGGAACACGTGACTACGCGCCCCGTACGTTTGCTGCAGAGTAGAAAAAAATCATATTTTTATTTAAATTAAATTTATTTAATTTCAATCGGATTAATTTAATTTCAATCACTAACCAGAAAAAGAAGTTATTCTTTATTATTATATTATTTTAATTGAACGTGGTAGATGGATCGATAAACCTGTCCGATCACTGAAAACAACGCGAAATAAAGAATTGATGTACATACGAACCCCACCGTACTTGAACAAACGCAGTTTGATTTCATTAGTTACTAAAAAGCAAATAGAAAAGCAAACTATTAATTTTTTTTTTTTCTGCTCGGAGTTGTTTGCAATGGAACTTACGTAACTCTAACGAAGTCGAAGGTAGAAAGAAAGCTCGACGCTCTGACCTGTTCAGAAAATCATCTTTATCTTCATTTTCCACCCTTGTTTGCTGCTCCCAATGCCCAAAGACCACGTGACACGCACGGCAGCGGATTGGTTCCAATTGCTCGTAGCATCCTGTGTAGTCCATCAAAGGTTGAAACATGTGCTGACGCCACCACGTTGGGTTGGATATCCGTTGTCGTGTGTGGAGTCGTTGCGCGCCGGCGAATTTTATCGCTTATTATTATTTTTTTGTTGTTTTGCTTTTTTTTTTCTGCTTGGCAGGGAACACGAGACGGCTTCTGTGACGACGCCGCCGAGTTGTTGCTTCCTTTCGGACCAAGTTCCGACAATGACCCCGGTGGGATTCTCTGATTTGGTTGCGGAAGAGTCTTCGAAGTGTGTGACGTCGTTGTCGACGTTGAGTCGACTTTCTATTTTTGAAGGTACGAAGTCGGTGGAGTGGATGGACCGTCGGGAGGGCGTCGGAGATGGTGGTGACGTGCACGTCACGGCGTGTTGCTTTTCAATAATGAAGAACAAAAGGCGCGTCGGTGACTCTTCACGACAATTCTTTGAAAGTGAGATGCTCCTCGACCGCAGACACATGGATGTCGAAAAAGGTTATAAAAGAACGCGGATTAAATTTAAAAAAAAGAAAGAAGAAATTGAGGTTTGCTCGTTGAATGGCGTGCCCTAGGTAGGAAATAAATACATAAAAATCGACTGGCTTAGACATTCTGTCGAGTAAGATGAAGGTGATTCTTCTGGAACCTGCTATCAGAATGAGACATTCAATGTGACCCGTGGCGAAGAAATCGACATCTCCTCATTCTTGCACCTCTTCTTTGGTGGCATTGCATCATTTTCTTTGGAATGTCGTACAGGCTTTCTGAATTTCTTGTTTCAATAAAACGACTGTCTTAAGGGGAGGGGGAGCTCAATACAATCACTACATACAGGGCCGCCCCGGACAGCCTTCGTGTCAGGTGTGCGGGGGATACCCATCAAACGAACACACATACTGGCTCTGTCCAAGAGCCACGAGCTCCCCCACTCGCCCAACTCCTCTGAACTTCCCTGCCCACCTACCCTACTCCTGGGTAAATTGGGCCGCTCCTCCTCCTGACCTACAAAACGAGCTCTGGCCTCTCCTACTTCTTCATGTGCGGGAGATCCTAGACCCTCCGCAACGAAGAACCCGAACCCAAGTTGTAGAAGACGATTCCTCCTCCAGTGCGGACGATTAAGACGGCTCGGACCTGAGCTTTTGAATGAAGTTTTCCTCCTCCTCCTCATTACTACGCCGTCATAGTGCTACGCCATTGGTCGCGCGCGCTATGTCGTCATACCAAGAGCTGTGATGGGTTGCTGACACTCTTTTACGGTCTTGTTACGATATGCGACCAACACGAGCAAGGTACGTGGAGGATTCCTATATAAAGCTATCACTTCAATATAAATACGTATATTTAGGAAAGTCATACAGCGCAATCAGCCGTAACGAGTCTCTGGAGACAGACAACGCAACTGACTGTAGTGACGAGTCTATGTGTTTATGGAGACGCGTCCATCTTGGAAAGGCCATGATACCCGCTTGTCGCCTTTCCAGTACGTCGGCTTCCAAGAGTGCTGGATTTTTTTTATTTGCTTTTATTGATGGAAGCCGAAACCGGTGGCAGAAGAACCACTGGTAGTCCTGACCAAGTCAGTCGATGAGGCTTCTTCTTGACCAAATAGCCCCAAAACAAAACTTTCCAGTGGCGCCACGTGGGAAAGCGAGAAAATCGGGAAGCGCACACCTGTGACGTATTTCTCTACCAAAGTCAAGTGCGTTCGCGCTGTTTACATGGCTGATTTATGTTATGTTCCAGAATATTCGATAAAGATATTTCGTAGGTAAATAACAAAAGCAGAAGTTTGTACAGGGATTCATTTGGCATACCGTTGGTCAATGGGCTTGTTCGATTTACCTCGCTTAAACTGCTTCCGTGGGCGAAAGTGCAAAACTGTGTACGTTCAGAATGCGTTGTAAAAAAGGCTGCGCTCGTAAATCGAACAAGGCAGTGTGCACCCAGGTGTAGGTGTGGGTTAATATGTAAGTACATCGAACAAACCCATTCCTCGAACACCGTAAACGCATGATGCGTTTATGGTGTCAGGGTGTCGCGAACTTTTGTCGAACCAGATTTTTTGGTCGAACTTTCGGGGTTCGACTGGGTCGAACCGGGTCGACGAACCTTCGAACTTTTCACCAGATTCGACCGGTTCGACTTTGTGGACAGTGCGGACAGACCTTGATACAAGCATGTCTAGGTTTGGAAAAATTTTTTATGCAAAGGGTTTTTTATGTTGTGAACACCTGCAATTAAAAGAAACTAATTCTAATCAATGAAGAAATTAATAACTTTATTTTTAGTACTGTATTAACTGAAATAACCAATCAGCGCTGCACTTAATTCATCTCTTAGTCATTATCATGCAATCGGAAGCCAACTGGCCAGCCTGTCGCGCATGCGCACACGAGTCGAACCTCAATAGAAGGTTCGTCGACCTTTCTACTAGAAGTTCGAAAAAGTCGAACCTGGTCGAACTCGATTCGCGGCCGGTTCGCGACACCCCTAGTGTCAGCTGCTATCGTGGGGCCTTATAGTCAGTGTTGCCAGTTTGGGCTATATATATAGCCAAATTGGGCTACATTTTTTGGTGGTTGGTAAATTGCTATCTAACTTCTTTTTTTTTTTTTTTTTTTTTTGCTGTTTTTAGGGATTTGGTGAACGTTCATCAAACCTCAAGTTGGGCGTCGAACTTAGAGGTTCGACTAGTTCATTTTTAAACTTCTAATCAGTTCCAAAATGTTTTTCGTTTCCCTTTTGGCTAGTTGAAAGAGGGAGAGAGAAAGAGACGAAGGAGAAATGTTTCGAACTTGTACAAACTTCTGCGTTTACACAATGCACAGAGAAGCAATATTCGCGGAGGTCAAGGGGTCTCCCCACAGTTCAGTGCAGGGTGTAAGATACTAGGGGTGTCGCGAACCGGTCGCGGTTCGAGTTCGACCAGGTTCGACTTTTTTGAACTTTTAGTGGAAAGTTCGACGAACCTTGTATTGAGGTTCGACTCGTGTGCGCATGCGCGACAGGCTGGCCATTTGGCTTCGGATTGGATGGTAATGGCTAAGAGATGAATTAAGTGCAGCGCTGATTGGCTATTTCAGTCAATACAGTACTAAAAATTAAGTTATTAACTTCTTCAGTGATTAGAATTAGTTTCTTTTAATTGCAGCTGTTCACAAAATAAAATAACCCCTTGCATAAAAAAAAAAAAATTCTCCAAACCTAGACATGCTTGTATTAAGGTCTGGCCACACTGTCCATAAAGTCGAACCGGTCGAATCTGGTGACAAGTTCGAAGGTTCGTCGAACCGGTTCGACTCAGTCGAACCCCGGAAGTTCGACCAAAAAATCTGGTTCGGCAAAAGTTCGCCACACCCCATAAGATACACAGGAGGCGAAACGAGAGCCAAATAAGCGACCGGATTGTGTCCCCCTTGGTTTTCTTTTTTTCTGTGGCGCCGTCTATGTGGAGCACCGCGAACTCTCACTCCGATTGGGCTAAACTGACGGAGATGGTTTCTCGTGGATTTTCAATGGAAGACTGTCGTGCTCCTTCGGAGCAGAGTAGCGCAATCTAGAACGCCGCCTCTCGGCGACTAGCGGCGAATGCCCGGAGGTTCCAACTGCGGTCAGAAATGCATGGAAAACGTGAGAAAATCGTTGTTTCTTCAGTGTTGTGGGAATATACAGAATCGCAATCGTTTTGGACATAATAATGGAACACTTTAGAATAATTCACGCTAACTTTTGTGCCCCGCAAGGACCTGACTTTTTTTAAAAGTTGCCTGAGCGGCATCGTGCAGCAGACGACACGGCGACGTCACACCATTCACGTGACCCGCTCCGGCCAACCCGAAAAGCCCATCTCCGCTGCGAGCAAAAATCGTCTGCTTCAAACGCCATTGCCTTGGAAATTGCCTTCTCAAAATTTGCACACGCATCCGATATTATTAAAACTTTGATAAAGTGTTTATTGCTTTACTAACTTCACGACAGACTAGTTTTGAAAAGTGTGAACTCGCTGTTCATTTTTAATCAGCCGTGTTGTGTCGATCTCCATGTATTCTCCCGTAGGGCGGGCCGCCTCCTGGAACCCTGAGTACCACGTGACTCGCGCCGAGCCGCTCTGTCGGCCATGTTGTCGTCAAAACACGGGGTTCAAAGGATTGCGCTACTCTGCTCCGTAGGAGCTATATAGTGCTCTCGGTTTATTTTGGGCACTCTCCCATAAAGTTCCACGCAAATCCGATTCCGATTTTTTTCCTCTCGCCGCAGCGCCATCTGTCGCAAATCGGGGGTAC